CCTCCTTGGCTTTCTTTCAAGGATTCCCTCTTAATCATGACTTTGAGTTTATCTGCCACCTTGTTCTTCGTCTCCCGAATACGTTCTCATCTGTCAGGGTCCTTCTGCTAGTGCGGGGCCTCCAAGTATAGCCTGATCGTATCAGAGTGATGTAGGACTATCACCTGCAGTTTGGACTTTGAACTCAGGAAGAACTATTTGTTTAAGGTTTTGCTTTAGCGAGTGATTTCTAGAGGTCAGTAAGACTTAGAGATCATTTGACATGGATGAAAGAAAGAGATATATCTATTTTTCCTCCACATCGAGCATTAACACGTGCCATTAAAATCCTAAAAATTAGGATTTTAATGATCTCTTCATATATTTGTCTCCCTTATTAGTTTCTTTATAGGAGGGGCTACATTTTATTGTTCTGCATCTTTAGAGACAGCAGAGTGCTGGGCCCAGGCAGCTGCTTGGTAGCGTGGAACAGATGACAGCTGCTGTGTTCAGGCCTCATGCTAGGTGTCCTGACAGAGAAAGCACGGCTTCTGGTCTCACAGAGGCTTCGACATCATCAGTGGCCGACTAAGCGGTGCCTTTTGAGGAGCTGCCTTTGCGGGAGACCGTGCTCTGAGTCGGCTCACCGTCTCATGGGCTTTGCTGTGCCCCAGTGGAAGGCTTTGGCTTCTCAGCAGCATGAGTGCCCTTTTTGATCTCAACAATGACACACGAGCAGGGGAGGCAAACTTGTAGCTGTTTCTGGCAAGTCTGGATTTTTAGGGATCATTCGAGGCTATAGAGGAAAAGACTTTGCAGGACTCAGCTTCTGATTGAGCCCCAGTATTCCTAGGGACACCAGTATCCGTTTTTTGAGGTTGTAAAGGTCTGTGGGGGGCAAGAGGAAAGTGTGGTTGGTCTTTCTTGGAGGCCACAAAGCCTGGTCCAGGTCACCTGCTCAAAGATATGTGTGTGGGCGCCTACGTGAAAAAATTAAAAACGCGTGAAAAACTAAAACACATCAAAGATATCAGAATGAAATAATGAGACAGGAGAAGCATAGAGGCTGAGACTTTGCAGAGAAGGGAGGAAGGAGGGAGGGAAGATCAGCCCTTGAGTGAAGGAGGCGTCAGCGCTGCCTGTCGGCCCTCCTTGGGGAAGGCTGACCAGGTCACTGGATCCCGCAAGTGCTGTCATGATTTCTCAGTGTCAGCTACAAGCCGTAACAGCTCTCCCTCCTCCATTCCAGCCAATTCCTCCCTGGTGCTCCAGACACCAGCAGAGCCAGGCCTGGACTTCAGCTCTCCTGACCCTCAGTCCTGTAGTTTCCCACAGCAACACGCGTGGCCACAGTTTTCACTCATTCACTGGTGTCTATGCCGTGATTTTATACAGCTCTAATCAGGTCTCCCTAATCATTGGGCCAAAGAAAGGCCACTAGACTCAACTTCAGTTTAAGACAACAAACTAAAGCAACCTCAGCTTTTGGTCGACCTCCACACCTCCCATCTCTGTTTTGTTCCGGAATGCCTGTAACTCATCGCTGTGACATTTTATAAATTTAGCTTGAGGTTGAATTCATAAAAATATTTGGAAACTACCTTAATTTTATAATTAAAGATTAAGTGGCCCATTCAGCCTTCTCTTTCTCTCCCCACAAATAGTCTAGCTGTAAAACAAATCTCTTCTGTTAAGTGGTATTTATTTAATTGCGATTTGCTGTAGAGCCGTTTAAGAGTGGGTCATTAGGTTAAAATCATTGTGCCTGTCCTCTGAGCGGAGGATGTCCTGCACTGGCTTACGTTTGGGTGTGCTTTCCCTGAAGCTGAGCTAACACAGCCGTGTTTACATTACACGCATTCTCTAGTTGCTGACATTTTTTGTTCCTCCAGAAGGAAAAAGATGCAGCATAAACAAATGACCTTATTTGATGTAATGCATCGGGTCATGCTGGACCAATGGTTGATACTTTCCACTTGCATTTATTTAACTACATTTTCTTCCCATCCTTTCGAATCTTCCTCATCCCCAAATCAATATTGAAGAAGAAACCAGTAATTTCCGATGGTCTGAATCCTTCATGGCTTGTACTGAGAGTCCCTGAAGCTGAACAGAGTCTCGGGGGCTAATGACCCAGTGGGCTTCTTATGCCCAGACATAAGAAAGGCACTTGAGCCCCTGGTTTTCTCCAAATGAATAGGAGTTTGGAAACCCCCAGAGAACCTTTTCTTCTTCTTTTTTTTTTTAAATGTGGAAATAAGGCGGAATTTACATACAATGAAAAAGGATGTACAGGGAGGGCAAAGCTCCCCACAACCACCCCTGTCCCCCGCCCCGTCCCCCGGGAGCCTTTCCTCTAATAGTTTTTCCAAAGTCCCTCATCTTCTTCCCATTCAGAGCCCTCTTGGCTTTGCATTTTCTAGGCAGATGTGAGAAATGTCACCACATTTCCTAAGAGGAATGGAACAAGATAGATGGGCTCCGCCCAGCGGGACACCTGGATGGCAGCCTTATCTAGAGCCCAAATGGGACCGCATGCGCCCGCTGTTTATTTATCCTCCTCCTGTTTGGAGACTTTCCCTGATTAATTACTTTCTAGTAATCGAGGCTGCTAACTAATGTCTCATCTGATTAACCTGTAGTGTGGCCCGGGGTCCCAGAGGGTGGGCTGGTCATCCCGCCTGGGGAATGAAGGAGGTCATTGGCCAGGGGCCCCTGGGATGCCAGTTTGGGGCTCGTTTATTTGCTCTAAGTCTTGTTTGCTATTCCTGCTGCAGTGACTGGCGACAGCTCCCCCCCCAAGTCCCATCCAATCTAATTGGCCTGCTGAAACAGCAGTGAACACAAGATTTAAGAAATGTTTTCTTTGAAAACTTCTGGTCGGACAGACACTTTGAGATCATATTTCACCCTGTTTCAATTGCACACCATTCCCTGGGACTTTCAGGAGAAATACTGTAAGTGAGTCTTACAGGAGAACTGCTGCTCTGTGGTCTGGGAGGGGGGCTGATGAGCTGGAGGCTGGAGCGGAGGCTGTGCTGAGGCAGCCCGGCATCTTCAGAATCTAGAGACCCTGCCAACGTTAACACATCCGAGGAGGTATTCAGTATCAAAGTCTCTAATATTTGGCTCCATAAACACGATACCGGTTGCAAAAACAAAGCTAAGGAGCTCATGCTGATTACTTCAATAAAAGCTGTTTAATTATGAACGTTTGGGAAATGAAGTTACCAACAGGACCAGGAGAGCTTTGGTGTCAGGTGTCCCTGCTCCCAGCATCCCACTGTTACACCACATTGTCCACTCAGCTGAAAAGCCTGACGTTGAGCAGGGCACGCCCTCCGCCCTGTGGGATGCTACGTACTTGCCAGTAACACTCCGTCTTTCTGCAGTGGCAAATTTAGGGGATTGATTAGTGAAAGAATTATCAGTTGTTATCAGTACCATTTACAGGCCATCCAAGGGTTACTTGGGGTGGTAGTCAAAGCTCCCAGAAGACCTGCATTTGTTTCTAGGTAGCAGGGTTCCAGGACTAGGCAAAGTAGAAGAGAATTCTGAGCAGGGAGCCAGTGGGTCATTGTGACAATACATTCTGGAGTCCTTAAATTAGTTATCTTAATAACTGTTTAGGAAACATGATCGTCTTAATGCTTCTGGATAATTCTTCTCTCTCTTTATGTGATTATAGCCAGTTATTTTATGTCAAGTGGAATAGGTAGAAGTATCCATGTAAAAGATTAATGAACAAAAATGAGAGTTGAATCTGTGTATGGAAGGAAAGAAATCTGGGGAGATACACATTGTCAAGGAGTGAACTCTTCCTCAAAAGTGCCTTTCCCATATATTGTTGATTATTTCTCAAAAAAACTTTTTATATTTTAAACATTTTTGGTAGAAATCTTTAAAACTTGTTCTTATTCATCCGCAGATATTGAATACAAATTGCCTATGCTTGATCAGTCCTGATGATTCCATGCTGTAATACACCGAAACACGCAGAAATTACTGAAAGACCCCTGGCTCTTGTGCCCATGCACTGAAACATCATGACAATCGCTTCATTTCTTAAATGCAAAGCTGGGGCAGTTATAACTGCTTCGTGGTGTCATGATGATTAACAGACACGATACATGTGAAAATAAATTAAAGAATAGAATATGCAATACTAGCTAGCTATATTTTTCTGTCTTGTGTATTTTAGTTGCTTCTATGCAGATGCTTTGGCTGCTGCCCGTAGCTGCTTGCTTTTTTTTTTTTTTGCGGTACGTGGGCCTCTCACTGTTGTGGCCTCTCCCGTTGTGGAGCACAGGCTCCGGACGCGCAGGCTCAGCGGCCATGGCTCACGGGCCCAGCCGCTCCGCAGCATGTGGGATCTTCCCGGACCGGGGCACGAACCCGTGTCCCCTGCATCGGCTGGCGGACTCTCAACCACTGTGCCACCAGGGAAGCCCAGCAGCTTGTTTATTTTATGCTACACAATTTAGGGGAAGAGTTGAGGACTCCAATCAGAGTGATTTATACAGATTTTAGACTGCTACCTATCACTGGAGACATTGCATGAAACAGAGAAAAGAGCATGGAATTTTTATCCAGAGAATCCTGAGTTCAAATCCTAGGTCCATCTTCTATAAGTTATGTGCCCCCCGGCAGTGTTACTTAACATTCCTGAGCTTATATTTCTATTCTGTAAAGTAGGAATAACAATGAGTATAACGAAAGTTTTGTGAGGTCTGTATTTTGCAGGTTAGGCACCCAGAAAAATGCCTGGTGCAACTGGGCATTTGATATTTTAAGTCCTTTTTCAGGAGAATTTTCCTCTGTTAGGTTAATAGCTGTGCCCTGGATGGTTTGGGATTCCTGACATTCTGAATAGCTATCCAGTAATTCATGTTTATGGCCACTTGTGTGTGTCTGTGTTGGGTCTTTGTATCATAAGGATGTTCTGTGCTCTTGTAATGACTGAATATGTTCTTGATTTTTATTTCTCCTTAAATAATATAATAATAATTCTCTTTTTTCAGTGAACGAGACAAAGACAGTAAGTCAGGAGAGATTCTGAGTGTCGGGGCCAAGTTCTTGCTTTAAATGCAGAGCGCCTGAAGAAAGTCTGGAACCTCACAGGTGGCTGGTGAGATACAGTGAAGGGGAGGGGAGTTTGTGGGAGAGGGGGAGGGAGTAGGGAACCGGTTACCCTGGTGTTTTGTTGGCTGTCCTGGAGTTAAACTTCAGGCCCTGGGGCATTCACCTGGAGAACATGTGCCAAAACTTTTCTTTTTCCCAACTTATATTCAAAAATTCAAGTGAGAGGGTAACTTTTTATGCATGGTATACAAAGTTAAAATAACACCTTAAATTCCTCTGTGTATGGGTTTGTTTTCTCTCCAAATGGTCAGAGTTACTGAAAGAAACTTAGAAAGAAGGTTATTTAAGGTTCACAAGACCCTCTGGGAAGAGCCCACTTAAACAGACCAGCCTTTGGGACTCTGAGAAAGACCAGTGTAATGTTGTTACCTGACATGAGTGAGAAAGGACCCCCACTGGGTCCCAGGAGCTGCCCGTGTTGTTGTTAACTGCAAACACCAGAGTTCGTAGGGCAAAGAAAGGAGCCCAGACTGGGGATCAGGATGCCGAGCTCCTGGTCCTGCTACTTGTGTGACTTGGGATAATTCTCTCAGTCTGGTTCCTCATTTGTTTTGTAAGGCTAATAACACCAATTCCGTAGAATCAAAGGTGAAGAAGATATAAACCATCTAAGTAATGAATTGTACAAGAATTTTGCAGAGATTACAATATGCTGTACAAATTCAAGGGCTAATTCATTCTGCATAATTCAGCCACATTTAGATCCTTCCAGACTCCATATGTGGTATAATGTGTTAGAGCAATGATGGTCTTAGAGGTCAGCTCCTTGAGTGCTCTGATTTTACATATGGGAAACTGAAGGAGAGAGGCAGAGAGGAAGGGACTTGCTCCCCACATAATATGGTATGTTAGTGCCAGGGCTGAAGAGGGAGCTAGGAGATCTGTTTCCCTTTAGATGCTTCTTTAAAAACAGCGTCTCTTCTAGAGAAGGCACATAATCAGTAATGGTTAAGTTCAAATGAAACAACTTTGGGTGTTATGAAGCAATGAAATTCAAGGAGAATCAGGTGGGGTGTCAAGAGAAGCAATGGTGAGGCCATGCTGCCTTTCGTGGCTTTGTCTCCAGATCATTATAAGCTCTGTCCCCTTAGGGAATAACGCTCTTCACGTTTCCTTTTTCCATCTTCTAAACTCACACGTGACTGTAAGGTTTGGGGACTGTCAGCACACAGCTGGTCACCTGGTCACTTGTAGACAGGTGCATGTCTTACCTCTTTGTTTGGGAGAAGGGAGTGTGACTGAGGTCAGGTCAGCACATGAGGAAGGACCGGCTTTCTAGGTGAGGGTTCTAGCCCAGGAGGGCTAGTGTACATATTATGTCTTTTTCCACAATAGCAAGGCCTCTGAAGAGCAAAGGTGGGACAATTTTCTGTTGATTGCCCTTCCTTTCACCCCAGATTCTGTTATTCATAATGGATTGTGGGGCAGGCCAGCCCCAGCCCGAGAGTCCCAGATTCAGACATCCCATGAAATGTAATCAGCAGTTCCCGGGCAGTCGAGCTTTTACAGGGTAGCCATTAGATATTTTGAATTTTTGATGCTTTAAATTTCTCTTTACACTGAAGCTTCTCCCCTTCCTCAACTCACTAATACCTCAGGCAGGGAAGCCTTCCATTGGAGGTGGGAAACGTCTCTCCCCCTCTAATACCTGTCCCTAGTCAGCTCAGGGCCTTTAGGGCTGCAGAGGGTTTGTGGGAGAGAGTTAGCGAGCAAGAAAGGTGCGGCTTGATGGGAACTATCATGATCAGTTATTGTTGCCCTGTGGGTTTGGTGGTAGCTCCACACTCATACTGGGGATCAACTGCTGCTCCTTTAACACAGTCAATGCCCCTTCAGACTGGCCACTTCCGACTCTAGATATCACTATCTAGCCTTGCTTGGAGTTATCTAGCTGCCCAGCTCCCAGGAGGATGCCTGGGCAGAATTTTTCATAGCATGATATATTCTGGTATCTTTATACAGGATCCTTATGGAACCCAGGGGAAACTCCAAACCCAGGCTGTTTCCAGTGCAGCCTGTCTCCTCCCTCTGCTTTTAGGGTGGCCCATCACTGCCCCGCCTTGTGGCTTTCTCCAAGCTTGGAGCCAGCACTAGTCTCTGTGCCTTTAGACCCCAGGTCGAGCTCTCCAAACTGTAATCCTGAAGCCTCCCACAGGTAAAAGGGATGCCTTCCCTTTCTTTTCCTTGTGGAATGTGTGTAGGGGTGGTGTAATTCTTAGCATTCTTGCCAAAGAAATCCTTTCTTCTTGGTCTCTTCAACCTCAAAGTTTTTCAGAGTGGATTTTGGACTAATGATTACAAATGTGATTTCTGAAACATTTCCTTTGCAAGTCCTGCGTTAGTGGGTTAGCATCTCATTTTATAATGTGTTATTAGGAAGAATCTCATTTTAACTCCTGTTACCCTTCCACTTGAGGTGCAGGCAAATCACATTGGAGCCTGCCTTGTCTGCCTTGAGGGCAGGTTTGAGGGATTTCAAAAGTGGTCACGGAAAGAAAGAAGCTTTGCAAACTATATCCTGTAGAAATGTTGGGCGTTACTCTTAACATTATCCTTTTTAATGTAAATCAGAAAATCCAAATGAGTAGATAAATCACGTTTCGATCCTTTCAGGTAAATGTGTTGACTCTTTAGTGATACTGACTGGCATCTTTGGTCACTGAGGTGATTCATTAGCAAACGGTGCTATCCAAGATCAGCCCGGTTCAAACCACGTGTCTCTTTCTTTAAAGGAGAAACTATCTTTATTAATGCCTGACTGTCCTCATGTCAGTGGAGTGGTGGCCTTTGGTTACTCAGAGGCACAGACCAAGAATATGTCACTGTAGCCTTTGGTATGAACTCTTGGTACCCCACAAAGAGGAAATATGTTTTTGCTGTTTGCAAAGGAATTCAAGACCTTTATGGTTACCAAGAACTCATAAAACCAATGAGCCATGTATTCGAAAATGATCCCTGGGTCCAGTCTTCAACAAGCCAGTGTCTGCTAATCAGTTTGGGAAACACATGAGCAACTAGGGCTTTCGAGCTGAGAGTGTGGTGCGGGGGGTGAGCGGGATTTCTCCTGAAGGCATCTTGTCTTTCTGTATGCTTTCTCTATGGAAGAACATGAGTGTTTCAACAGGTTTATTTTATGTTTTCATATGCTGAACAACAACTACAGCAAGTAAACAAGCAAACAAAAACTAGGTAGAGCAAAAGCAGAGAATCGAATGTATGTTTCCAATCCCCAATTTTTTTTGTTTTGTTTTTTGGGTTTTTTTTTTTGCGATACGCGGGCCTCTCACTGTTGCGGCCTCTCCCCTTGCGGAGCACAGGCTCCGGATGCGCAGGCTCAGCGGCCATGGCTCACGGGCCCAGCCGCGGAGCGGCATGTGGGATCCTCCCGTACCGGGGCACGAACCCGTGCCCCCTGCATCGGCAGGCGGACTCTCAACCACTGCGCCACCAGGGAAGCCCTCCAATCCCCAATTTTTAAAGTTTATTTGAAGTTTTAAGTTGTAACCAAAGGATGAATCATAGCACTGTGTACTTTCACTTTTACCTATCCCAGAGGTATAATCTCTCAGGAGGAGTGAAAAACAGAATCAGAAACTTGGGTCTTTCCTGACCTTACTAAATTATAATTTCCAGATATAATACCACATCTTTTATTTCTTTATCTTTGCGTATATTAGCCTAGATGAGCTGATCACGAGTGTGTCTAAGTGTATGTGTGTGTGTTTGTGTGTGTATGGATATTGAGAGAGGGAGCGAGAGCATGGGGTATGGGGTTTAATTCTCTTCGAAAGTTGGCACCCAGGATTTATTATGTAGCCCCCAGTGTTGGCTAAGTCTGACATTTAGTCTTTCAACAAGTATTTATTATCTCCCATGTTCCAGGAACTCTGATAGTTTCTGGGGGTACACAGTTAATTAAACCCTGTTCCCTCAAGGTGCTCACACTGGAGTTGAAACTCTTTCACTGCAGTATGTGGAGCACAGAGCTTGAAAATTATTCACTGTGATACACCTTTATTCTTTATGTGGTACGCAAACAATGAGACAATCCTTGTTTAAATACGTTTTAGAACTTTAATTTGAAAGTGCTTTTTCCATAAAGGATTCTTGTGTGTAGAGATCATAGTTTTATGAGGAGTGGGGATTTTTCTTAGGCAGATTTTCTTTATAAATTTGTAGTCATTGATGAAGTGGCAAGAGTGGGAGATTTAGTGGGTGGCAGAGAGATCCACATAACATCTTTGGAAGTTGCTAAAATCAACACGAACAAGATGTTCACTCTCATAGCTTTCAGAATTTGGACCCATAAAGGTATTGTGGTTGTGTCTAGGACCAAGAGGCACTGATTTTTATTTTACTATAATATTGCAGATTCCACCACTGGCAACAGAACTTACCATAGCATTCTTTTGGCAAGATAAAACAAAGTGGTTACACTTCATTCTGTAGTAGGGTTGCCCATGGATCTGGAGAAATGAACTCAGTTGATGGGAGTCTAGGGCCAATGGGACTGGGTTGCTGTTCTGATTCCCAGTTAGACATCAATCACCTTCACAGGAAAGAAAAGGGGATTCTTCTTTGCCTGTGGCTGCCCCATAATGCCAGCTGCCAAAGCTAATCATATGATTATTAGAAGATATGGGGAGGGTGTGAAGACTTAGTCTCTCCAATCACATCTCCCAAAGGAATAACTCAACATACATGACTTTATCAGTCCAGTTGCTAAGGTTTTGGCAAGCACTGCAGATTAATACCTACCAAAATGGAGCCCAGGTCCATTGGAAACTTCTAGCAGTGAAGCGAGCAAGTCTGCTTCCAGGGTCTAACTTTGCCTTGATTTTTCCTGAGATGAGAGGCCTTAGTTCTCAAACTGCCAGAACTAGTTCAGTCTTCAGCAGGATATGGTGCTAGTTAGTGTTTGAGTCTCCTAGGTATCCTGTGTGAATTAGACCTCTTTATGTGGAGGACAGAACGGAAGTCTGCCTA